TATAAAATTTTATAACTAACAATTTTAATATTAAAAACAATTTACAAAAACACACATCAAAACTAAAATTGTTTATATTTGCATGTAATAATAATATTATAAATTGTGCGTATAATGAGTATGTAATAAAAAAGTATTTCTTAATGCTTATGTAATATGAAAACATAACAAAATACATTTGTCATTCCACAGGACTGTAGAAGTGACCAGCAACAAAAGCTAAGAGGCTACTGAAAACGACGAAAACATGAGAAAGAAGCATTTCCCATCCACTGACAAACATCTGAACCAAAAACAGACGATTCCACAGTTACACACTTTAAAACTCTCCCAAATGAACAGAGCTCATGGGTCTGAAGATGCTCCTCACCCCTCTGTGTTCTCCTCCCTCGCCGTGATTCTGATTAAAGCGCATCCGTCCGTTACTGTACATGTGAACATTACCTGAAAGAAACACAGCCATGTCTTTATTCAGAGCCTCAGGGATTCATGGGATTGTGTGTGTGACGCCTGCGCAGTAAAATACACTGACAGAGACACAGACGACTGCAACAGATACTCCACAACCACCACAAAAACTGCCTTTTATGAGTCAATAATGCTTATTCAATTTAGTTAATAGTTTGCCAGTAACTTTAACGTCTTCTTTGACTCTTATGAAAACCTTAAAGTATGTGTCCAGGTCATATTTCACCCCAAAATTAAAGATAAAAATATGTAATTATATATTTGCTAAGAAAAAACGTGTTTCAAAGTGTATTGCAGTAATGTATGGAAGCTTGTTACCACCACAGAATAAAAAAAAGCAGTGCTGTCAAACGATTGATCACATACAAAATAAAAGTTTTTGTTTTCAGAATATATGCGTGTACTGTGTATATTTATTACGTATATATAAATACACACACATACAGTATATATTTTAAAAATATTTACATGTATGCATTTATACTCACATAATTTATATTATATATAAATATATATTTAATCTATAAACAACATATTTTTCTGAAATATATACATGCATGTGTGTGTACTTATATATCCACAATTGTTTGACAGCACTAAAAAAAATTTCACTTTTCTGACTTTTCTGACTTTTTTCCTCACAATTGCAAGTTTATCTCTGAAAACGTGCAATTCTGAGTCTATATCAGAATTATGAAATATAAACAGAATTGCATGAAAAAAAAAATCACAATCACCTTTTTATTTTTTTATTCCTAGGTGGAAACAAGCTTGCAAAGTAATGAAATCTTTCTTTTTATGAAAATGTCACAATGCAAAAAGTAGTTATTTCTGCAAAATATAATTTCTTTATTTATCTTTTGATTTGAGGGTGAACTTTTGAATGCAAAATACAATGTTCTCAAATCAGCGTTCACAGTTAACTCTGCTTTCATCACAAACTCACTAGAAGGGAATCCTCCTCCGAAGAACATGTTGAAGAGATCTTCAGGTGAAATATCGGCCTGGAAGTGTGTGTCGTTGGTCTGGCTGGATCGGCCCGAGCCCAACTGATCGTACTGACGTCTCTTTTCCACATTAGACAGAACTGCATATGCGTTTCCTATAGCTGCAGCACAGAACCACAGTTACACAGCAATATCTACGTCATTACACTTTCAAATAAATCCCTCACGTTCCAGATGTTAATGAAGAGCAAGCACTGTTTCTGTGGATAGATTGCACTGCAAGCAAAGCAAGCGTATGACGGCCTGCCGTACCTTTAAACGCCTCCGTGGCTCCCGGAGCGTGGTTCTTATCAGGGTGAAACTTTAACGCCAGCTTTCTGTAGGCTTTCTTAAGATCGTCTTCAGAAGCATCTTTCTGCACGCCGAGAATCTCATAATAGTTCTTGCACTGCTTTATTCTGCCAAGACAAAAACACCACAGTCTGCTGCATCTGGATCAGTGAAGTAAGATGCCATAAAAATGCTTTTCGTTCATTGAAAAAAAGCTGAAATAAACATATTAGATGAAAAACAAACTTAAAAAACAAAACTTAAGCACTAAAATAACTAAAAATAAATAATAGTTAAATATAAATATTTTAAAAAGACAAAACCACAGTGTAAAATCACTAAAATGTAAAGTAAAATACTATAATAGTATAGAAATACTAAAATAACACTGATTTGGATATTATGAAATAAATATGTTAATGACGAAGTTCTAAATTAACTAAAACTGGGGGGCGGGGGGCTAAATAGAAACATAAAAAGACGACAAAAGCATATTACAAAATTACTAAAAACTCAAATTAAATCTGAAAATATAAAATTCAAACCTAATAAACACTATAATAGAGCATAAATAATACTAAAATAATTTAAGGCATAATGTATTTAGTACTGAAATTACTCAAACTAAGTTTGAAAAGAAAAACGTAAAGCTCAATAGAAATAAATAAATGCTAAACATTTAACACATTTATTAAAACTTATTCTGAAATAAAACTAAATTAACACTAAATATAAAAAATAAAAAATTATATAAGCACATTACAAACTTACTAAACTTAACTTTAAAAAAATATGAAAATATAAAAGCCGATTCAAAACGTTCGGAAAACTATAATAGCATTATATGAATAATAGATTTAAAAAAAAAACACACACACATCTGTTGATGTATATATATATATATATTTAGGTACATTTTTGAATTATCATGAAAAACTAAATTCCTGCTTTTGGTTCAAGAAACCTCGGCTAGCTTTATAAGTGGACTAAAAACAGAAAAAAATAAAACTACAAATGAAGATTATGATTTTTTTTAACCCCTTAACTGTCACACATTTTTGAACATAGACGTGAAAGTGCACTATCCAAACTTAATATTTTATAATTCATGAATGAAAACATTTTGTAACATGATTCTGATTTACCATTTTCATGGTAATACAATGTCTGATTTTAAAATGGGTTTCAAAGGATGAATTTTGAGATTTTAAGTTTTCAACTGATATACAATTTCTGATGATTTCTAAAGTGTGATCGAGAAAAAAGAAACGAGGAAGACTTTTTCTGACTCCTGTTATGATGTGGATTTTTGAGGTGCACTCTTGTCATAAATTAATCGATTACTTTTCCTACATCAGGGCTCTACGCTTACTTAAGTCATCTTTTATGTCAAATTCAAAAAAATATATTTATAAGCTTTTTAACATTTCTAATTAAAACAACAGAATAAAAACAACTAGAATAAGAAGTAGAATAAGAATAAGTTACCAATCAAATTAAATCAGTATTTAAGAAATAAATTTGTGCTACAGAGTTAGCACAGAAGAACACACAAGTGGCTTGTAGGTGTATTTTCAGACGTTTAATGAGGCTCAGAGTGTAATTAAATTCATAAATTCATGTTGAGGTTAATGTTTTAAATATAACATTTTGAATATAGAAATATTAAATTATTTAAATAACAGAAAAGATACTTTAAAAATTAAACTAAAACTGCCAGCATCGAATCATTCATTCAATTGATTCGTTCGAACGGCTGATTCATTCAGGAACGAAGCACGTGACTGTCTTTATGAATGGGTAATTGAATCATTGACTCACTAGAGATTCGTTTAAAAAAAAACCTTCATTCATAAACGAATCACCGCTGTGTTTGAATGGAGATGCTCAGCTGTTACTTTGTTAGAAACTATTTTCGTTGACGAAATAGAGCAAAATAAGGCAATAGTGTTGTAGTCAGACAATATAAGTCACTTAATATTAACTTCTTGTTTAATGAACTGTTGTATTAAATCAATATCACATTTGCAAACTCCCTTAATAATCATTAAAAGCTGTCTCTCATCTTAGTTCATCGCAATCTCACAAAACTCCATTATAATCGATGAAGCTCCTTACACTGCACAATGAATCTCTTATTTACACCCTGTCAACACTTTGTTATAATGAGAGGATACGTCTGTGATACATTACTCAACGCTGCAGAGACACGCAAGTACGCTAGAACCTTTGAAGCTCCTAAATATTATTTCAGAGTCGCACGCAGTAGTTTTCAGTCGCAAATGCAACTGAAATGGTCGCACTGTAGAGCCCTGTACATAATTTGTAACAAAAAACAGTGGTAAAATATCTATTTAGGAGTCTTAGACCTATAACATACAGTTTGTCATGATTAGATTAGGATTTAAATGTAATATAGTGAAGTAAACTTAGGTGGGGACGGGTGACAGTTAAGAGGTTAAGAACTGTCTGAATGCATGAGTCTAAATGTTTTGCCATCAAACAGAAGCTGTGAGACACTAATGTGAAAACACTGTAGGTACCGTCTGACGGCCTCGGCCTGCTCAGGTGTGTAGGGTTTGCTGGAGTCGACAGGTGCCGCGCCGTTACTGCTGACCCCAGACCTGCGCTGACGAGCTTCTGTGCCATCAGCGGCTCCTGCAGCGCTGCTCTGAGACCACGCCAGCAGCTCTGATAAACAACCAGGAGTCATGAGCGCAACACAATCAACACAACTGATCACAGCTCCCATTACTTCTGGAAACAGGCAGCCTTTTTAGGGTGTCATACAAATGAGCAGCCTACTTAAAGGAACAGTTCACCCAAAAAATTAGTTTGCTTAATGTTCTTAATGCTGGATTTGTTTCAGCTTTTGTCTTCTCCAGATGTTAACTGATGGACTGGAGTGCTGTGGATTACTTGTGGATTATTGTGATGTTTTTATCAGCTGTTTGGACTCTCATTCTGACGGCACCCATTCACTGCAGAGCATCCATTGCTGATTTCTCCAAATCTGATGAAGAAACAAACTCATCCTGATCTCGGATGAACTGAGGGTGAGCACATTTTCAGCATATGATCATTTTTTGGTGAACTACTCCAGCATCATTGGATTTTAAGATATCGGCTGTGTCTCATAACCTAGTCCAGCGCAACTACATTCATCACATGCACATCCAGCACTACTGAGTGGGTGAGATGCTGACCTAAACAACATTTTGGGACATCATCGTTTCAGCACGTGAACGTCATGCCCTAATATGCTGTCTAACGAGGCAGCTCACTGGGATTTGAGACACAGCCGGATTAACATGACATCTCAATCTGACCTGTCTGTATTGTTTATATGCAGTAGTTACATCATCATCAGAGCAGCAGCTCTATAACGATACAGCAACACACACACACACTAACAAACAATCCCATCTCTGTGTTTATAACAGAACACAGATGCGGTATCGCGGCTGCAGGAGGCTAACCGAGGCGACCAGGCCTGGATTAGCCCGGGTTCAGTGCGCTCACCCTGGGCTCTGCGCGTCGGGAAAAGCCGCTGCGCTTTCTCCAGAAACCTGCGAGCTTTCTCCGGCTGCGCGTCCTCCAGCGCTCCGATCGCGATCTCGATGCATCGCTCCGCTTCATCCCGGTTCACCTCCATCACTGAGCTACTTACAAACGCCAGATGATTTCATAAACACACGGAGAGCGCACCATTGAGCTGCGACTGCTGTCGGCTAATAATAATAATGCTAATACTAACTGTTTCCTATGTGTTGTGGTTTCCTGCAGATGGCGCTCGTTGGCCCACGTGACGCGTTTAACGGTCATCAGCGTCGTAAATCCACGAAAGTTTTTCATATTTGTATTTTTTTTTTAATGTGTGTACGTTTATAACACTATTCTTTTGTATTATATCACCTTTGCATCAAATTACAAAAAAAAAAAAAAACAGTTAAAGAGGGGGTTTCTAATGCAGCGTCTATGGGAGGGATGGTAAATTTGTCTCTCTCAATTTTTTTCCTTTTATTGAAAGTCACGAAAACACTATCGTGGAGTTTTTCTTTTGCTATTTGAGCAAATGGGAATGCAAAAAATATATTTGTGGTGCTCTCCCATTCACTGACTTCCCCTGCTGAGAAACCATGAAATGTTAAAAAAAAAGCACATCGAAACCCGTTCAAATGTCACGACGTGTTTTGTTTTGTTGCTGATATTCATGTGGTAAAAAGTATAATTATTTAAAATGATTATTTAAACTAATCCATACCTGACGTACAAATTTAAATCTACTCAACCAATCGCTATAGGAATTGAGTTAATCACACACGGCTGTGATTGGTTCATCCCGATCTACGCTGAGAAATGTAACAGGTGTCACGTGACTCGTTATCCAGCAGCGGTCTGGATTATTTTTACACAAACAAACCGAAGTTACTGTTTCTGCCATGTAAAGATATTGCAGAAATATTAGCTGTAATATGCTAGTCTGTTAGTAGTATGCTGAAAAGTTTATGCTTCATTTAGACGTTTTAGAGTGTTATTTAACATTATTTTTTACTATGTTTCTAAATTATTTTCCATTTATTGTATTAAATGTATTTATTTATTTATTATTATTTACATTTATTTGACTTTTTATTCTCTACTCAACCAATCGCTATAGGAATTGAGTTAATCACACACGGCTGTGATTGGTTCATCCCGATCTACGCTGAGAAATGTAACAGGTGTCACGTGACTCGTTATCCAGCAGCGGTCTGGATTATTTTTACACAAACAAACCGAAGTTACTGTTTCTGCCATGTAAAGATATTGCAGAAATATTAGCTGTAGTATGCTAGTCTGTTAGTAGTATGCTGAAAAGTTTATGCTTCATTTAGACGTTTTAGAGTGTTATTTAACATTGCTTTTACTAGGTTTCTAAATTATTTTCCATTTATTGTATTAAATGTATTTATTTATTTATTATTATTTACATTTATTTGACTTTTTATTCCCTTATACGTGTCTGTTTTCTAGTAAATGTTAAGAATAATTGCAATTATTGTCCCTGGCCAATTAGAGACAGAGTCTGGGCCATTAACCCCGCCCATCTTATGCTTCGCATTAATATCAACATCCATTCCACCATATCTTTCTATTTCTATGAATAACAGTCTCAGCAGGCGAGCAATGATGACGTGTCCAAAATCAACACTAAATATACGGAATAACGCTGCCTTTTCAATTAAACGAATAGCATGTATTTCCGAAATGATATACAAGAATCACACAGTAGATGGCGCTATAGTTTAAGTTTTTAGAAACCACTCTAAATAACATGTTGCGTTTAAATGTTGGTGAAATGGCATGTGTGTGATCACAAAACACTATTAAACACTATTTAACACTTTAACTGTCGGTCTAAAACTCTAGGCACTATCTGAGTTTTGATAGCCTACATGCATACGCTTTTCTTCCTTTTTGATGTATTAATATATAGTTTATAACTGCTCTCTCTTTTAATTCACCAACACTCTGGAACACTTTATTACAGCAGAACAAAAATGACATATAAAAGTGTTTAGGTATAAACTGGTGGACAAAAGTTTGGAATAATTACGATTTTTTTTTAAATTTATTTTATTAAACGAAGTCTCTTCTGCTCACCGATGCTGCATGCATTTGATCAAAAATACTTCAAAAATTATTAAATATTTTTACAATTTAAAACAGCTGTTCTCTAAGTGAATATATATTAAACTGTAATTTATTTCTGTGATCAAAGCTGTATTTTCAGCATCATTGCTCCAGTCTTCAGTGTCACATGATCTTCAGAAATCATTCTAATATGCTTATTATTAGATCAAAAATACAGTAAAAATTGTGAAATATTACTACAACTCAAAACAGCTGTTTTCTATGTGAGTATCTGTTAAACTGTAATGTATTTCTGTGATGCGCAGCTGTATTTTCAGCATCATTACTCCAGTCTTCAGTGTCACATGATCTTCAGAAATCATTCTAATATGCTGATTATTAGAAACATTTCTGATTATTATTATCAATGTTGAAAACAGTCGTGCTGCACAATATTTTTGTGGAAACTGTGATGCATTTAATTTTTCAGGATTCACAGATGAACAGAAAGTTCAAAAGAACTGCATTTATTAGTTTTTTTTTTTACTGTCACTTTTGATCAATTTAATGTATCTTTGCTTAATAAAAGTATTAATTTCTTTCCCTTTTGAATGGTACTTTATCACAGTGCGAGTGTGAGTTTGAGTGTGTTTCCAGGGTGTGTGATGGCAAAATAAGAGCAAAGGTTTGAATGCTATCACTCAACATCATGCCATGTTCAATAGCATTATCTGGATCAGATCTTGTATCTTCTTCATATCAGTTTATCACAAGTGTGTGGAAAGTTAACTAAAGTTTTGAGAACAGCGTTTAACTCAAAGATGTCATGACAAATGATGATTTCAAAAAGAGAACAGAATGTATCTCAAAGCATACGAATAATAATAGAGTTTAATAATCATATCTGAGACAGCTGAGAGTTTCATGAGAAAATCAGATTCCTGTAGCTCTGAGAGAGAATTACAGTTAATAAAATACTGTGGTGTTGACTTACAGAGAGTATTTTCTGCAGTTTATTTAACCAGTAAAGCTATACTCTGACTCTTTCAGAAGATTCACATCATTTAAAGCATTTCATCTTCAGTCAAACTAATTGTTTTGAAATGTTTAACTATACTAGAAGGTACATTTAAATTTAATTAGGTAAAAACTAAATTTAAGGGGACAATGTCATTATAACAGAAAAGTCTGAGCAATTTATACAATTAAATAATTAAATGTATTCTTTTTTTTTTTTTTTTTTTTACAAATTAATAGGAAAAATATATATTAGGCCTATTACAAATTATGTAGAAATTAAATTATGTAGGCTAATTATCTAAATAATTTAGTACAAAATAAATCAGTGAATCAATTTCAAACAGGTTAGTAGTTTTTTTTCAGTTTGTGTGATAACATCTATGATTGTCCAGAGGACTTATTTCATTTGATTCACATGCCCTCGTTTTTATTTAAGGGACAATATAGATAATGCAGTGCATTATAGGCTATAAAGTACATTTCTGACACTGCAAAGCTAGGAGGTAACTGTAGTTCAGCTGATAGATCACTGTAATTAGTCTATCAGTATAGCAATATTTAGCTTAATTTAGGTACAAAATAAAGTGATAATCCAAGAACAAATCATATTTGAATATAATGAATGATGCGTGCAATGATGAACTTATGTTTAGTGCAGAGCCAGCAGGGGCTCGCGGTGATTGGCTGGGGGGTTTTCACCGTATAAATGCACCGGCTCCGGTGAGGTCTGGTTGTACTGGGATGCTGCTGTGAATAACGAGAACGCGAACGTCAGATGAAGCTCAGCCAATCGGAGCGCTCGCTTTAAGGTGGCATCAAACTCTCTGACCAATCACCGCGCAGTATTTCTGCCGTTCGCGACGGTGCGGGGCATCACCGGCAGCTGTTTGCGTTGAGCTTCACGCGTTTGCTCTTCACTGCTTTACCGCAGCATCAGACCGGTGAGTGTTTCATCTGACCCGCTTTATTCTCGCTTTGCTTCTGCTGCATCCGCTGTTGTTGTTGTGTGTTATAATAACAGGTGTGTGTGTGTGCGCCTGTGTGTGTGCTTGTGTCTGTGTGTGTGTGTCTCTGTGTCTGTCTGTCTGTGTGTGTGTGT